TTCTCATCACCCGGTACTTCGCGGGTCTATTCGGCTCCGCACCAGTTAGTAATGTCTCCGCTGCACTCGGTGACATCTTCCATATGAAGGCGCGCGGCATCGCCAGCACCTCGTACGCCATCTGCGTCGTGGGCGGCCCAACCATGGGGCCCATCATCGGTGCTGCGCTCGTCTCGAACCCGCACCTGGGATGGCGCTGGACCGAGTACATCGAGGCCATCATTGTATTCTTCATCTTCGGCATCACTTTCTTCTGTCTTCCGGAGGTATACGGCCCCGTGCTGCTACACCGCAAGGCGGTGCGTATGCGCAAGGAGACCGGGAATGAGGATCTATACCACCCGCACGAACACATCAAGTTGGACGTGCATAGTATCGTGACGAAGCATTTCTCGCGTCCGCTGGTCATGCTTGTCACCGAGCCGATGGTCACAGTGATTGCTCTATATGCGTCGTTTACGTATGCGTTGCTATATCTTACCCTTGAGGTGTTTCCGATTGTTTTTGATGATATTCGCCAGTGGAAGCCTGTTGTTGCTACGCTGCCGTTCATCGGGCTGTTCGTCGGTGTTCTGCTCTCGTCGGCATTCATCATCTTCATCGGCCAGCCATACTACATCCGAAAGTGGGAGGAAGGCGGCGGCAAGCCTGTCCCCGAGGCGCGTTTGATGCCCATGGCTGTGGGCGGGTTCTTGTTCGCGGGTGGTCTGTTCTGGTTTGGGTGGACGGCTGAGCCGAAGTATTCGTGGGGATTGCCGGTTGTGGCGGCGATGGTGTTTGGATGTGGGTTTTGTATTATCTTTGGCCAGTGTATAAATTTCCTGGTTGATACGTATGGGCCCTATGCGGCGTCGGCGACGGCTTCGAATACTTTCCTGCGGAGTGTATTGGCCGCGGCGTTTCCGCTGTTCTCGCAGCCCATGTTTCGCAATTTGGGGGTTGGGCCGGCAATGTCCATTTTGGGGGGTGTTGCGGCGGCGGCCATTCCGGTGCCGTTTTTGTTTATGATTTATGGGGTTAGGTTGAGGAAGATGTCGAGGTTTGCGCCGTTTAAGGGGTAGTAGGTGATAGGGGTGAGTGTGTATTATAGAGTATAGATTTAATAAAGTTAGATATAGAGAGATATAATATTGAAAAGGATGTGTTGATGATAATAACTAATAACTAGTGTTATAAAGTAAAGGTGTTCCCCATACATGGAATGTCCCAGAACAGGTCATCCAGGATCGATGTATCTACATCAAAAGGCTGGAATGAATCAGACAATTCATCATTCAGTGGCAAGCCGGTCCCATCATTTTCTAAGGAAGCGATCCTTTTCACCAGCTCGCTGCACTTTGACAGACACTCGTCACCCAGATCCCACCCAAATTCCTGCCGATGAGACTGCAGTGTAGCGATCATTTCTTTAGCCACCTCCAAGGGTGGATTTTTGCCGCTCTCGACAGAGTGCGATTTAACTCTGCGTAGCCCACTCCGCAGAAGAAATGTCGTCGCTGATGTTAGCGAGTACGCCTGCACCGGGATCCAAAACCCACGTAGCTGAAGCTCGTCTAGCTCCCGTACGAGATGCACTATCTCTTCTGCTACACGCTCGACTTGTGTGAATGAAACGGAGGAAGAGGTGCCGTCATTCCTTTTATCATTGTTGGAAATCTCAGTCTGCTCGTCGTCCAGGTCGAGTGCGATGCGTCGGAGCAGAAGCTTCACGGATAAGTATGCCAGGCGCAAGTTTGCCGCGCCAGGGGTGGTCAAGTTGGTTCCGCGGCGGATAATATGGCGGGTCTTGGTGTCGAGGGATTCTTCCCAATTGGTGAGGAGGTGTGAAAGGGAATTGATTGTCTTCCTCACGGGACTGGAGACGTGATAGATATATTCTAGGTATTGACCCAGTACCTCAGTTAGTGTTGTGAAAGCAATGAAGATTGAGGCCGCAGCTTCATGAGATGGCATTCCGGGAGAAGAGAGGACATAGTCCATGGTTGGGAATGGGACGTCGCATTGGGCGCGATGAATCTGGAGGGGTGTTCCGTAGGCGAGGCTGCACCTAGTAAATGTTAGAGTGGAAGAGAGAAGTAGAAAAGCGGGATATCCTACCATCGATCGTGAATAACGACCAGCCACCAGACGCGGATGCGGAATCCCTTCTCGGGGGCAGAGATATTCCACTGGGAGGGATCTCGATTTAAACCCAAGGCATTAGATAGGGCTACCGCTGTCCCTACCATACCCCCATTGCCAAAGATCGAGGTGCTTGGTCTGCCGCAGACATTCAGCAGCATCGCCAGTACAGTTGAAATACCAGGACTCAGAAACAACTCGGAATGAAGAGCCTCGTTAGCTTGGTTCCAGATATAGCGGATGTCGGGTGTGCGAGTTGAACGCAGTTGTGGCGAATTGTCCCAGTATATGAGCGAGTTCGCATATAGATTGCAGAGGAGAGCTGGGGATATTTCCTCTTTGCGAGTGCAGTAAGCATTCATGAACGACGCCTCGTCAAACACAGGGAAGCATATATTTGCGCATTCGAAGAACCTGGTGGCACAACACTCAGAAACTAGAAATCTCACGTAAATGATCATTTGCGATGACTTACAGTCCCACAACATCCTTCGTCGCGGGCTCGAGGTATTTTTCGATGAGCTCGCATTTCATGGACGGGAGAGATTGATTTGAGTACACCCCTAACGGACGCCTCGGAATCGTATTGAACAATACCTGCCGCATGAGTCGACTGGGTTTCGACCTAGTGTGCATCAAGCCTGGTCTTCGATTATCCGGAACTGTGAACAGATATCCTTCCAATATACTACTGTCATCGGCAACAACTGGGCTGACGACATGGGAGCTGTCGTCCCCGGTATCGCCAACCACATCCATTAGACTTGTAATCTTGCCATCTGAATATGCTGTGGGAAGATGGGCCGGGTGGTGATGTCTCGTCAGTTGTGGTGTGTCAGAACGTTGGCTGGTCCTGGGTAACGGGTGTACGACCTGAGGTGGGGAAGGTCGTTCAATCCGAGCTGTCTTGGGTGCAATCCGCTGCAGGTTGACGGTTCGCTTCTTCTGAGCAGGCTTGTCAGCTGAAGGAAAGAGACACTCGGTTGCATGAGCCAGACACATCATGCACGTCGCCGATGAGTCTCTGGTGCGGCATCGCGACTTGCGTTTTCGACAAGGCAAACATGCGGGATGCGCATGGGACCGATAGGGTCTGCCTGAGCGGCTACCAATCTCCTTCGTGGATTTAGATTCGGCAGCCATGGTCAGGATGGCTGTCTACTGGATATTTGGTCCGAGGAATTCCATTTAGATGGAGGGGGTGATTCTGATAAAGTGAAGTGTTTCGTGGCCGCGGGGAACCTTCGCCCGCGGGCAACTCAGCCAATTAGAATAGTCGGATAGCAGGACCCTATGTCCGCGGTCACCCTAACAGGGAACTACTTATAGCCATCAAGACCTTGGGTAATATGGCAAAACAACTAAATTGAACAACATACTTATTTCCATTGAGAATAAGTACTCGCTATTGAACATCATGGCAACCCCCGACACCACCACCGCCTTCTTCGCCAAGGCGAACAAGTACCTCATGTCCACAGGAGTCCCTATCTCTCCAATCATCATCACCGAAGCCAAAGGCACCTGGTTATATGACACCAACAACCGTCGCATCCTCGACTTTACCTCAGGCCAGATGAGCTCCCTGCTCGGTCACTCCCATCCTGAGATCGTCACCACAATCCAGGGATACGCCGCCAAGCTAGACCACCTCCTCAGCAACATGATCACCCACCCAGTAGTGGACCTAGCTGAGCGTCTCGCCCGATTCCTCCCTCCACCCCTCGAAAGGTCCTTCTTCATAAACACCGGCTCCGAGTCTATCGAAGCTGCCATAAAAATGGCCAAAGCGTACACTGGAAAATTCGAAATTGTCGCCTTCAGCGCCAGTTACCACGGCCTCACCCAGGGCTCAGGATCAGCAACGTATTCCACAGGCCGGAAATGTGGTGGTCCATGCATGCCGGGCCAGCTTGCCTTTCCCGCTCCGTATGCATACCGCTCGCCCTTTCGTAAGGCGGACGGGACGTATGACTGGGAGACGGAGCTGATGTTTGGTTGGTCCATGATTGATCGGCAGAGTGTGGGGTCGCTGGCTGCGTTTGTTATGGAGCCTATTCTGTCGACCGGGGGGATTTTGGAGCTCCCCGATGCCTATTTGCAACGCATGGCGATTGAGTGCAAGAAGCGCGGCATGTTGCTGATCATGGACGAGGCGCAGACAGGAGTCGGTCGCACTGGTCACATGTTTGCATTTGAGCAGGCTGGAATAGTCCCGGATATTCTAGCTTTGTCGAAGACCCTAGGATGCGGCCTTCCTTTGGCATCGGTGAGTACGACAGTCGAGATTGCTCAGGGGTGCGCGGACGCTGGGTTTCTTTGGTTGACGACACACTTAAACGATCCCCTTACTGCGGCGGTGGGGAACAAGGTGTTGGAGATTGTGGAGCGAGAGGATATCTGCCGGAGAGCGAGAGAGCGTGGTGGGCAGTTGAGGGAAGGCCTGCTAAAGCTCCAGAAGAAGTACTGGTGTATTGGGGATGTCCGCGGTCGGGGCCTTTTGCAGGGAATTGAGATCATCTCCGATCGGAGTACTCAGGCTCCTGGGCCGGAGCTAGGTCAGTTGGTTTCAGACAGAGCCATGGCGTGTGGGTTGTCGTGTAATGTTGTTAATCTTCCGGGTATGGGAGGAGTCTTCCGTCTGGCGCCGCCAGTGACGGTGTCAGCGCAAGAAATTGAGGAGGGTCTGAGGGTTCTGGATGAGGCCTTTGCCTATGTAGTTGGCAAGAGTTGAGGTGTTTAGGAGGTAAACTTGATTAGTTATATGAATCTTTTCTGCACGAACTTCACACCCAGCATGTTGTGTCAGACGTAGCCCTCATTTAACAGGACAGGATTAGAGAATGTCGATAGCATGGCAGTTTCATATGTTGGTGGCTTTAAAAACTGTCCAACTGGCAATAACTTGGAGGCTCTGGGAGAACTTAAATCTCATCACCAGGTACTTCGGACGCAATTTCATCGGAGTTCGGTCCATAACGTGGTTATTGTAGCTTGGCAGTGGCTGGTCACACGTCTCATCCATCAATCTCAGGGATTGAAGCACGGAGCAAACAAAGGGGCCCTCTAGCAAAGGTGGCAAGGCATATTGAACCGAGATGGGCATATCTAAAAGGACCTATATAGTGGTCAGTAAGATGAACGAACAATGGGTTTGGAAGTCATACTGCGGAGTGGTGACCATCGGGATTTAAGAGTTTGATTTGGATGGTGAGCGTATGTTCCACACGAAGAAAATTAGTAGAGAGGCTCTGTAGACATTCTTTTGGATCATTTGGCAGGTGAAGCAAGCGGGTTGTAGAATACCAGCATTCTTCATTATCTGATGTTATTCTGTATTCGTCTTCATCCCAACCTCTGGGGTAATAGTCGTCCTTGACTAGTATACGGGACCTGCGGTTGGATACAGACTGTTGTAAGGCTCTGTGTGTCTCTTCAACCTTAGTGTGGATGGTAGCTACCTCGAGCCTTTTGCATAAAGGAATAAATTCAAACTTTATGGGGACAACACTCCCGAAGGTATAGGCCTGAGATGGTAATGAAACACGATAGAGTATCTTCTGCGGCCATGTTTCTTGCATTATCTGTTGGGACACATATCTCTCCGTCGCCTGGCTAGAACCACGCGATATATCGTTTTTGGTCTAGCGGTTAGTGCTTCGACATTATCTATTGAAATTGGCCTTTTAATTGAGACCTCACAAGGCAATATTGCATAATACCTCACCTTCGGCTCGGGTAGCAATAGTGATCTGTACATTGGACGTACCCTGACCCGGGTGTTAGCATGGATACGACGTCCGCCGACTGTGCTGATAGTAGCTTTCAGTTAATATCTGGCATGACAGTCGCCGAGGCCCTCAATAGTGCCTGGTGTGCTGTTGGATAGGCAAAAGGTGAATGGGAACTCGTGGTTTCCAGCTGGTAGAGTAGTTGGTGATGGAGTCCCGGGATAAGGTAAGAAGTTCCAGGTTTGATACATGAATAGCCGCTCCAAGGACGGCATATAATGGTGAGCTTCCTGGGATTCCAGAAAGCTCTGCCAGCTATTCACATAATCAGTTAGTTTGAGTTACACAGATGGAGTGATGGTCGTACTTCATGTAATGCCGCCCTTCAAAGTGCAGCTTGATATCCTTGACACAGAGTGGTTGGTTGAGGCATAACACGACCTTTCCTGTAACATGGCAGTATCCCGTTGATGGTGAGTCCCCAGGAAGCCATATTATATCACTGTCAAGCCTGTTCCACGTCAGTATAACGACCCTTGTTGGGTGTAAATGCTCGCCGTTACCTGATACCAAAGTATGTCGGCGCATTCTCAGGCGGAGATGTTGCTCGGAAGAGGCTAGTTATTGCCATTGCAAATTTTCAATATTCATAGATACTACATTTTGCGTATGCTGGATTCTGCTGCAAGTAGTCATTTATATCTCAACGATGGTAATTACCCTTTTTGTCGATGCCGCCACAGGAGCGGGTAGGTTTCTTCTTTCGGAAATACCGGTATGTGTTTCAGGAAATCGATTCGATCTAGACACGCCCTGTTGATGATAGCAAGTCCTGTGATCATCACAAGTAGTCTTTCTTGGAGAATAAACTCCTTCATGACCGACGCCTTGCCCAATTTGTCACCGGTGTTGCTCTAGGTTTTGAGGTTTTCGCCTCTCAGAAGGTCGGGTTGCGGCAAAAGCCACTCGGTTCTCTCATGTTAAGATGACTATGACATGATTACAATAACACAAATAACCTATGCTGTATGGGTCATATTTCTATCACCGCGGAATGGAATGGGCAAGTAAAGAATATATTTGACCATCTAGCTACCTAAGCTACACGTCGCTCTCTACCACTGATCAGATACGCAGCAGTATGAGTCTCAATTAACGGATCAAGAAGAAATCTTCGGTACGGCTTGAGACGATAACGAACAAACCTACGATCCTTTGTGAGCGAACCAAGAATGAGAAAGTGTTAACGCCATAGTACGTTTCTGTTGCGAAGCTTTCAGAGAACGGCTTCTTGGCCTGGACAAACACCTGTGCTGCTGGAGGACCGAGCAATGACGGAAAAGAGAGCTCGTTATAGTGAGGCGCAGTTGAAAGACTCGATGCCGCGTAAGAGGGTTCGAAAGTTCATTGAAAGAGAATTCCTTTGGCATGCGCTGTACTTCTATTAGAGAGGTAACTTGGACGATTTGGTACTGTAGACAGTTATGGCTTGCCATACCTGGTCTCTTGCCTGGGTGAGGGCCGAAAATCCCATGGAGAGTGTCAACAATCTCATGGCCGTTCTCAACAACGGCGGGATCTTCAGGAAGGAGCATGTTAGTATATTCTTCTTCAGCTATAGCTTAATTACAGAGAAAAGAAAGAAAAAAATATTTAAGAGGTGGATCGGACTGATAGCGGGAATGTCTTCTGAGCTGGCAAGGCGGTCATATAGCTCAAATGAGATAAATCAGTGAGGGACTGTGGATCTTAGTAAATTGCTATTGCTAGAATAATCTAAAGTTCAAGAGCTCTCGTGGCCAATATTCGATCTATGAATCTATGTATGTCGGGTAATCTTTGACATATTTCTCTTTCGATGTAACTCTGATGCGTCGGTGGCTGAACCAGATAGAGATGAAATACGAGGAAGATGGGAGGCCAATTGTTACCCAATCTGGGGAGGGGGTGACAATGCAGAAACGTCAGGAGAAGCCCCTAGAGTCCTTGATTGATACCTACGCATATTCGTGTTTACGAAGTTTAAGGAGTATGTGGGGGGGAGCGGACATAGATCTATTCGAATATAGAAACACAGATAAATAGTGACCCATGCTAGGCGATGATACTTACAGGTGATTAGACATGCCACTTTTCACAGTACTTTCCATGAGTAAGCGCCTGATTAACGCCTAAAGCAAGTCTTTCATTCTTTCATTATATCATTTCCGGTAAACTCATTACTATTGGGACCACCATCCACGCTACTAACTACCCCATCATTCCCCCAGCCCTCGCAACCTTCCTCGCTCGCTGCTGTCGACGATTATGATTCGCCCGACTAGCTTTATTCTCCTCTTTCCTCTGCCGCGCAACAGCAGGGTTACTATTCCCAGGAGTACTACCCTGCTGGCCTGCACCACGTCCCCGACCTCTCCCACCGCGTCCGCGTCCTCCTCTTCCTCTTGAGCTGCTGCTCCCACCTGCCTCACTCTCATCGTCATCTTCAGTTCCAGCACCAGGTCTCCGATACGACGTAGCCGGCAACTCAGGCTGATTCACCCCCCCACCATCAGCAGCACCAATAGCCATCTTATCCTCCAATCTAGCCATCCGTTTCGGATCCCTCGACAACATGACTGCCCACCCCTCGATCGCTTCATCCGTCATGCCGGTTTCGCGCTTAAGCGAAGCGCGGGGCTGTGAGCGTCTTGTGGCAGAGTCGCGCGCAAACAGGGCCGGATTGGATTTATATGTGCGGTAGAGGGAGAGTTCTGCCTCTTGTTGTTGCTCTGCTGCGGCCTTGGCATCGTCGGTGGTGGTGTCATCAATGGTTCCGCCGACGTCGGCAATGTCGTAGGTATCGTCGCGTTCGTCGTCGTCGGAGTCAAAGGTGGCCAGGGCGGAAAGAATAGCAGCTTTGTTCGCGGAGTGGTGGGTGCGGTCGGCGAGGAGGTCGTCGGCTTGGGTGGTGTTGGTGCGGCGGCCGTGGTGGAGGGTAGACTGGTCAGATAGTTCGGCAAGGTCAACGTCGTTGTCAAAGATGTTTTTGCGGGCTGGGAGGGTTAGCTCTGTAGGTGGTAGTGTTGGGCGGGGTGGAAGAGGGTCGTGTGGGATGGTTGAGGTTGACGTTGATGTAGGAAGTTGTTCGGATTTGTCGAGAGTGCGAATCTCAGAGGGGATGGAGTCGTCGAGGAGATGCGAGACGATTGTTACGGGGTCGTCATTGTAGTGGTCTAGCAAGCGGGTGATGTAGCCGGAGCCTAGGTCGGGGAAAAGATCTTGGACTTGAGTGATCAAAGACATGCGGTGAATGTGCATGTCTTCGGGTGCGGGGAGATTCGTAGCAGCGCGGCCTTTGCCTTTGTCGAGGAGTCGCTTCTTTTGTTTTTGATGGCGACGGTGGAAGACCTTTGTTTCTTCTTGGTAGGTTCGTAGACTGGTGAGGAGGTCTTGGCCTCGTTTCTGGGGGTGGGTGCTGAGATGGCGGGCGAGACGGACTAGGAGGTCTGTACTGCATATGACGTCGGATAGGAGGGTGGGCTCCTTTTTCGTTGTTGAGGATCCGACGCCAGCGCTGGATTTTAGACTGTATAGCTGGTCCAGCAGCGCGGAGAGGTTCAGCTTGGGGCCCTTCAGAAGCGATGCTAGACCAACGTAGACGTTCGCTACGAGGACGCTACGGATATCCGCTCGTTTGTGTGTTTGGTATGCATCGGCGAATGTGTCCAGAAAGTCAGATCCGGTCATGAGCACCTGGCCGCAACCGGGGAGTGCGGACGCCAGGATAGTCAAGAGGCGAATGTCAGAGAGGATAGCCGTAGACTTCGTGGGGTTGAGCGAGGCAAGCTCTCTGATAATCTTCGTCTTGGCCTTCTCAAGGTTGGATGTTATTGTATCTTGATGCTTGTTCCAGGCATCAGACAATAGTCGCTTCATGGCAGCGCTCGAAGGGTAGGTGCAACACATGTTCGCAAGGACATGTACATCAAGCAGCTCAGACGGTGTTGCAGAGGCATCCAGAAGGAACCTCCTCGTCAACAAGAAGCAAAGCTTCCGTAATGATCGCGCTTTAAGCCCGGCATGGAAGCCAGATGAGCCATTGGTGGCAGATTGATGATAGAAGGAGGTCAAGAAGGTCAAGGCAGTTTCATCGTGGGCGGCAATTTCTTTGAATTGGGAATCAGGAGCTTCAATGCGTACTTGCAGAAGCAAGATCCACGCATCTATATAGAGCTCCCATTCGTTGGGTGGTACGGTGCTCTGCACCTCCGGGGGTGGAACCGGTGCCAAAGGAGGTAGTGGTTCCGGCATGACGCAGTGGATGGGCTTTGTCGACCGTCAATGTCGGAAAATGTAAACTGAATTAGACTATTTATGCTTGAACGTTGGAAGCAGACCACACGCCTGGACCATCCACCGATATCGTCACTGGCGATCCATCAGCCCCTCTGGCGGCTGCAAAATTCAGTGCGGATCCTGACGTCAGGTGACTTGAGCCTCGGCCTCCGCTCTGTTGCGGGGACGGAGATGGCCGCAGTTACATAGTACCTGCATGGAGACAAAGCAGATCTGCACTTTATTTATTGTGAATATGTTTGCAAATTATAGATGAATTTAGAAAATCTGATATGAATAGGAGATACTAAATAATTTACTACTATTGCTAGTAGCCAACAGATTCTACTCAAGCGCTGTCTAATACAATAAAATTGAGATCTATACAATGATGTCATCATGCATGCAACAGAAAAATACAATATTACTTACACAGCTCTAATGAATGATTTAATTTTCATATACTCTCTACCTTCTAGTGAATATTATTGACTGAGACAGTTGTCATATATCGGATTTGGCCGACATACTTTGTGTGGCTAAGCATTTGTGGAAACTTTCCTTCCCACCCCGGATCTTGGCTTCACTTCAGGGACGTCTAGCTCTTCCTTGAAACTCATTATGTAGCAAACAGCAGCTAGAGGAGGCGAACATTCTGACGCACAACTCCCATAACAAAGAATCCCCCCCTCTTTAGTAGTCTTTCAGTAACTCGTTTATCGCAAACTATCCACGCCATACCCCGATCATTATGTAATAGCTCCGAACCAAAGGGTTGACCAGTTGCCCTATACAGCCAACACGGATACTGAGCCGAAACTCACTAGAAATAGCTGGACAATGTTGTAAGAAGGTTGCATAAATCTGTGCATAGTGACTACAAAAAAGGACAATGACACGAGTCCATCGTGGATGCCATTGGGCCCAGCTGCAAAGACTCCCTCCGGACCCGAAGTAGACCGGATCCGAGGGCCACTCCGGGCAACCCTGTAAAACTACTCCTGTTCCGTAATCGATGGATAATGACATCTGAAACGCGCGAGGGTACTTAGATGCCCTGGGCCTCTCTGAAAATCCAAAATGAGGCCAGATGAATAGTGCCCAGAAATCTTGGCTGGCTCAAGAGTTCGATACACGGCCGCTGGTGTCTTCAATCAGCAGTATGCGCGTTCTCGTAATTGGCGGGACCGGACGATGTGGCAGGCTTGTCATTGACGAGCTGCTGGGACGAGGTAGGCACCTGCTACTTTATAATACGTACGACGTGGTGATGAATATAGCTAATATGTCCAAGGCCACCAGGTCACTACCCTAGCCCGAACACCTGATGCGCTGGGTGGTCCACGACCCGGTCTAGATGTTATCCAAGGTTAGTACATGATGAAGTCTTGCTGCTGCTATTGCTTCGATTGAAAAGTGTTCCACGGCTGACATGTCTCAGGCACTCCGATGAACCTAGATGACGTACGAGCCGCGTTCAATACAGACAAGCCCGACGTGGTGATTGTAACGCTGAATGCGCCTCGAGCGAGCGATAGTCCGTTTGCTGCCGCCATCTCCCCCCCTCGTTTAATGGCCGACTGCAACGCCAATGTAGTGGCTGCAATGAAAGAGTTTGGGGTCCGCAAGACTGTGATTCTGCAGGCATTCGGGGTGGGAGCATCCTGGACTAATCTGCACATCCTACTGCGCCTACTCATGAAGACATCTAATATGTCACATCAGTACGATGATCACAACGAAACAGAAAGGGAAGTCCTGGCCAGCGGGGTCGGTTATGTATTTGTGAGGCCGTCGCGGCTAGTCGAAACGGACGAAACTGCCATCAAGGTGTGGCCGGATGACGGCAAGGGAGTTCCCATGATGGCCAGTACAAGTCGGATCAGCGTGGCACGATACTTGGTCGATGTGGCCGAGAGTGATGAATGGGATAATACGGCTCCAGTTATCACCAACTGAATCGAATCGGGATCGGGACGGGAGGTGGAGATGTTGCGGGGGTGGAGATTGGTGTTGTTTAATCGTTTGTCTGTTTTGCTTGTGGGATTTCTGGGTCAAAGTGGGTATGTATAATATTGATGATGTGATAATATTCCCGGCAGGTATACGGTATTCCTGGATGTGTAATGATAATGAGGAAATTGAATAAGGCATGCATTATGTGAAATTAGGGAATTGGTTTTCATTTACTACATAAATAATGCAGGCACTGCATAATACCTTGATGATGTAAAATGTGGCTGTCCGGAACATTTATTGTTCCATCAGTTACTTGACCACATGATATTAGTGGCTTATCACGGATGAGTCATAATCGAGATCGACACCAGATCCGGCATCGGCGGTGGCGCGAGCCAATCAAGGGGAAGGTAAAAGAAAAGTGCCACTAGCATATGGCACAGAAAATTGCTCGTCGTTGAGTCTCTGTCACTTCCCTCTGCTATCATCCAAGTAACCGGCGTGACAATGGTGAGGCAGCTTGTTTGGCAGCGGGCTACCGCCTCTCAGAGGGTAAGTCGTGCCGTTATCAGCCCGATTGACTCCCTAGCAGCTTGGACTGACCACTCCACTTCCCCGTATTATAGTTGGCCCCGAAGTGCCTCTCTCCGCAACGACTGTTCAGTCGCCGTGGCCTGGCCACGGAGGCTTCTCCGGCAGCCTCCTCCCGCTTGCCTCCCTACCCGAAGATCGTTCAGAACCTCGAAAACGTCCGTCGCGTGCTTGGTCAGGACCGCAACTTGACCCTGGCGGAGAAGATCCTCTACGCCCATCTGGACAACCCCGAGGAGTCCCTTCTGACCGGCACCAACAATGGCCGTGACATTCGCGGCAAGGCCAACTTGAAGTTGAAGCCTGACCGCGTGGCGATGCAGGATGCGTCGGCCCAGATGGCTCTTTTGCAGTTCATGTCTTGCGGTCTCCCCTCGACGGCCGTGCCCGCGAGTATCCACTGCGACCACATGATTGTTGGTGAGCGTGGTGCTGATACTGATCTGCCGGCATCCATCAAGGGTAACAGCGAGGTGTTCGACTTCCTGGAGAGTGCCGCCAAGCGCTATGGAATTGAGTTCTGGCCCCCTGGTGCCGGTATCATTCACCAGAGCGTTCTGGAGAACTACGCTGCCCCGGGTCTGATGATGCTGGGAACTGACAGTCACACCCCCAACGCCGGTGGTCTGGGTGCCATTGCCATTGGTGTCGGTGGTGCGGATGCTGTTGATGCGCTGGTTGACGCCCCTTGGGAGCTCAAGGCGCCCCGCGTCCTGGGTGTGCGTCTGGAGGGCAAGCTCAACGGCTGGGCTGCCCCCAAGGACATCATCCTCCACTTGGCCGGTAAGCTCACCGTCCGTGGTGGAACCGGCTTCATCATTGAGTACCACGGACCTGGTCTGGAGACCCTGAGCTGCACTGGTATGGCCACCATCTGTAACATGGGTGCCGAGGTGGGCGCGACGACCTCCGTGTTCCCCTTCTCCCCCAACCACGTTCCCTACCTGCAGGCGACTCACCGGGCTGATGTTGCCCGTGCCGCCTCTGAGATCGCCGGTTCCGGTCCCAGGAACCTGCTCCGTGCCGATGGCGGTGCGGAGTATGACCAGCTGATCACCATCGACCTGTCGACGCTGGAGCCTCACATCAACGGTCCCTTCACCCCCGATTTCTCCGTTCCCTTGTCTGCTTTCGCCGACACCGTTCGTGAGAAGCAATGGCCCGAGTCCCTTGGTGCGGGTCTGATTGGTAGCTGCACAAACAGTTCCTACGAGGACATGACCCGTGCGGAGAACCTGGTCAAGCAGGCCTCTGCCGCCGGTCTTCAGCCCAAGTCCGATTTCTTCATCACTCCCGGTAGTGAGCAGATTCGCGCCACCCTGGACCGCGATCAGACTCTGTCGACCTTCTCCCAGGCTGGCGGTACCGTCCTGGCCAACGCCTGCGGTCCCTGCATTGGTCAGTGGAAGCGCACAGACGGTGTCCCCAAGGGCGAGGACAACGCCATCCTTACCTCCTACAACCGTAACTTCCCCGGTCGTAACGACGGTAACCGGAGAACCATGAACTTCCTGGCCTCCCCTGAGCTCGTCACCGCCATGGTTTACTCTGGAAGCACCACCTTCAACCCCATGACCGACAGCATTACCACCCCCAGCGGTGAGGATTTCCGCTTCCAACCTCCCACCGGCTACGCTCTTCCCAGTGACGGCTTTGCCGACGGTAACCCTGACTTCCAGCCCACTGCCGCTGTGCCCGATCCCTCTTGCGAGGTGATTGTCTCCCCCACCTCGGATCGTCTGGCCCTTCTGGAGCCCTTCGCTCCTTTCCCCAAGGGCGACCTTTCCGGCCTCAAGGTTCTGTACAAGGTCCGTGGCCAGTGCACGACTGACACCATCTCGGCGGCTGGTCCGTGGTTGAAGTACAAGGGTCACCTGCCCAACATCTCCGCCAACACCCTGATCGGTGCCGTCAACGCCGCCACCGGTGAGACCAACGTTGCCTACGACGAGGACGGCAAGCAGTACTCCATTCCGGACCTGGCCGCCCAGTGGAAGGCCAACGGTGTTGAGTGGCTGGTTGTGGCCGAGGAGAACTACGGTGAGGGTAGTGCACGTGAGCACGCTGCCCTGCAGCCCCGTTACCTGGGTGGACGCATCATCGTGGCCAAGAGCTTTGCCCGTATCCACGAGACGAACCTGAAGAAGCAGGGTGTCGTTCCCTTGACTTTCGAGAACCCGGCCGACTATGACAAGATTGATGCTTGTGACCAGGTGGCCACCGAGGGACTGTATGAGGTCTTGCAGGCTGGTGGACAGGGCTCCATCCAGCTGCAGGTGACCAAGCGCAGCGGCGAGTCGCTGGTGATCCCCGTCAAGCACACTCTCAGTCCGGACCAGTGTGCTTTTGTCCTGGCCGGTAGTGCGTTGAACTTGTTGGCTCAGAAGGCCAACAAGAAAAGTGCTTGATTAATGGGTGATGGGTGAAAATTAAGCGAAGTGTACATATATCCACTGTTGGTGTTTTGTTTTATCTACTTTCGAGCGTTATATTAGTAGATTATGTTAGACAATGAACTGTCTAGACTTGATTCGTGCATCCTAGCAAGTAGCTGCTATATAAGTATAACCAAGAGCTCAGCAACGCGTATAAAGCAAGCCAAAAGCAGCTATTCCATCCAACCCAACTATCTGACCACCAAGTAATGAGTGTCCCCTACTTCCCATCATAAGCCCACTCTCTCCCCAACTCCAACCTCCCCTTCTCTATCTCCTCGACTCCCACAAACTCAGGTTTAATATACCTCGCCGTCAACGCAAACCTCAACCTCTTATCCGGAATAACCGAATGCTACACAATCAGCATCCCAACCACCCTAAACGGACATATTCATAGAGCGAGACCGACAGGGACAAAGAAAGAAGGGATAAATCATACCTCAAAAAACTTCTGCAACCCCTCCCCATACATAACCACCAAATCACCATGATTCACCTCCATCTTAATACACGGCGTCGCCTCCCCTCCCCTACCAGTACCGCCTTTCTTCATACTCAACCCCTCACGCCTCAGCTCATCATACCCCTCGCGATCAATACTCCCACTCAGCAACCCCACCTTAAGCTCCCTCCGTCGGAGATAATTCTTGCATCCAGGCAAGACCGGATCCTCTTCGAGGAGTTTCTTCGCTCTGCTGTAACCATGGTAGTATTTGTATTTCATGCGCACGAGCATGGTGGATTTTGCGCCTAAAGAGAGGGTGGAGATCGTTGGGCCGAGGGAGGATTCGCCGTCGTCGTGGTACTATCCATAGAGTGAATATTTTTCTGGAGGGAGATTTTGGGAGCCCCGGAAAGAGGGCAAGGGAGAGATGTACGTACCCCGATTCTCATATCCTCCAGATACCCCAACAGGAGCATTTCGTTTGGCGGAAGGAAGGTATCCCCAGCGGCGAGATGGGCTTGCTTGCTGGCCCAGGTTAAGCGGCCCATGGCTCGCAGGATTGGGGGACAGGCTTCCTTGAAGGATTTTGAGGAGACGGAGACGACGTATTTGTATGGCATGCCCTGTTTCATTTTTAAATTAGGTTCTGGTGTGCGAATGGTAGGAAGGTTATGAACGCACATAATTAACAGCGAAATGAGCAGTCAGTGTCCCGGCAACTACATACACTATTAGCATTCAATATTTCATCCGCATAGACAAGAAGATAGATAGCTCACCCACACTCTGCGCCAACGGATACCTCCTCAACCCTAGCTCCTCACACTGCAACTGTCCAAACAACTCATCCGGCCCATTACACCGGGTATTTATTTCGCGATTCGTAACTAAATGCATGATACTCCCCACTCCGGGAATAGTATACGTGAGCTTTCTATACGGATAAAGAGATACATCGTCAACCTCCGGAACCATGAACTTTGCATCCCAGCTAAGCGCACGCTTAATAGGGCTTGTTTCTATGTCATCGATCACCCATCGCAGAGCGATAGGTCGTATGGGTAGAATGTGCTCAAAAGGACACTTCCACTCCCCGTCCCTGTCCCTGACGGAATCATCATCCGCGCATCGCCATCCCCACCAATACCGCCGGGAAATGCACCGCCTGCAGAGGGGACATATGATCCCTTTCCAAGTAATCCTCTTCGACAACGCATCGCTATCAGCATACTTCAATGAGGAAAGTAAGTCCGGCACGAGGCTGTGATGTGGCTGGATGGTTGGGTCCAGGGGAAGACGGGATTTGAGGAATTTCTCGTGGAAGGTGAGATCCGCTGGTGCTGAAGACGAGCCACTGATCATCCAGAAGAGTTTACAAGATGGCTGCAGACACATCCATCCTTCATCGTATATGCGTATGCTGTGCTGATCGCACGCTTCGCAGCGGGCTTGCTCTGCCTGCATCGCATAATCCCTCTTCTTCCTCTCCAGAGGAGGCCGGGAATGCTTCGCAGCCCACCAGCTCTTACTACCCAGATCCAACTTCTCGAACCGGACCTTCGCACCCGTTCTTCTACCGATGCGTTCGTACCACACGTGTGTGATCCGGAAATACGCCATGACGTTGTATCTGTACGGGAGGGGTCTGTTAAGAAGAGTGTTGCGGTTCCCTGTAGGGTTATCAACATTGCAATGCGAAATGCGGCACGGCCTACTCACCAATCACAATCCCCACTGGAACCTTCAGCTCCATACTATTCAGTATACTGCTCATCGCCGCACTGTCGCCATCTTGATCCTTGATGAGCACCAAGTTCCCGTTTGCATCCTTGGTGCAGCCGCCTCCGCTGGACATGATATTGTCAGTGACCACCATAGATCTTGATATATGAAATGGGATGGAACATACACACGAGTAATAACCACCTCATCATCCAAATAAGACCGTATCCCGCAGTCCGCATCGATCAGGAACCCCCAGCATATGTTCCCGTTATGGTAGACTCCGCCTTGCACGGAGCGGAACCAGGGCAGGGCGTCGCAGAGTTCGGGTCTGTTCTGGTCATGATTTATATGGATTAATATGTTCTAGGAAGAGGGTGGTGGGTATGCGTACCTCGGCCCAGGCTGGGGGGTGGCCTTCTGTTTCTTGTTCTTGGCGTTCCGGGTGAGGGTATGAGTTGGTATGCGCTGCGGGATTGATTATACGGGTGGAGGTAGTGATCTTTGTAGGGTGATGCTTTCGAGGTCGTGTAATGCGTCCTGAGGTTACGGGTTGGGGCTGGGGTTTGCTTGTCGCTGTTGCCCTAATGGGTCTTTTGGGGCTCATGATGGATGGCGTATAGATAGGTAGTTAATGAGTGGTTGTGTGGGGATATATAAAAAGAGAGTATACTATTTCGAAGGAGTAGTTGGAAGAATGGTCTGGTAGTAAATAGTGTCAAGTCTATGCGAAGTGTGGTTAGCTGGTAGTCGTGGTCATAAGCTATTGTGTAGTCATGACGGAGGGGTGAGGATATCAGCATAGCGTCATCAAGTGCTTAAATGTGAGGGTCAAAAGAGCTGAGGGTAAGTTCTTTCTAAGAGTGAGAGTTAAATATGAGCCCGATCTGGGGGAAGCTGTAGTATGCAGAGGATGTAGTCTTTATGGTATGAAATACTCCGATCTATACAATATCTAGGTAAAGTTGGTGTCTCTCACAGTACATCTACTTCCCAAACACATCCTTCTGTTCGGGTACCAACGTAATCATCTTCCCCGTTTCCACGCCGGAGCGCAGGTTATTCAACACGAGCAACTCCATCTCCCGTTGCGTCTCATAAGTCATGGTACCAATATGCGGCAACAGCATGACCCGGGGGTTGTTCACCAACCCCGGCTCGATTGCGGGTTCATTCTCGTAGACATCCAGTCCAGCCGACCATACCTAAATCATCACATTAGCCGGGTTACCCTTACTTTCAAAGAAGAATTTAACTAACCTTGCCCGACTCCAGCGCCTCAACCAAGGCCTTCTCATCAATCAGCGCTCCACGCGCCGTGTTGACAATGATGACCCCATCCTTCATCTTCTGAAACTCTAGCTTGCCGATAATGTGACGAGTGGACGCATTGAGCGCCAGGTTCAAACTCAACACATCAGCGTTAGCGAGTAGCTCATCAAACGAGACGTAGGTCGCTCCGTCCTCGAGTTCCGGGGACAGACGCGACCGGTTATGGTACTGGATGGTCATTCCGAAGGCGCGCGCGCGACGAGCCACCTCCTGCAACTCATTAATGTGATGCTCCTCGGGTCCTGAGTGCTGAACTTACACGGCCGATTCCTCCCATGCCGAGAATCCCAAGCACCTTGTTCTGGGGATCATGTCCGAGGCCAGTTTGACCGAGGAACTTTCCTATTCCATGGTTATATTGAGTGGTGACTGGGTTGACATGGATAGGCTCACCTTCGCGGAGCGACGAGACGGGAATGTATGCCTGTCGCAATGCGCCGATCATTAGGAAGATGGCCACGTCGGCGGTGGCGTTGTTGACTGCAACGGGGGTGCTAGAGACAGCAATTCCTGGGATGGTTAGTGTGCGCCATGCTAGGAGGAGAGGTTGTGTGTACCTTTCTTTGTGCAGGCCGCGACGTCGATGTTATCGTAGCCTGCGCCATTGTGGGCAATGTACTTGAGTGAGGAGGGCAGGACGGAAACTAGTTCTGCGTCGAAAGGGCCGGTGAACTAAAGCGCTTTAGCTATTTCCTTAAGTCTATCGTCATGAAGTCTGCCCACCTTCGTAGAAGTATTGGAGCGATAGATGGCAACAACATCGTCGTACTGGCCGTCGCGACAGTTTCGGAGAAAGTCCTCGCGAGTCCCGGAGGGGAATTCCTTCAAGGTCAGAATAGAGGAGAGATCATTCCATTCGGGGATGGAATGGGTGATGGCACCGATCAGCAATGCGGCAGGCATGATGGCGATGATGTCAAGGAAAAGAGTATCCTGCGGGGAGAAGAGGGGAAGGAAAGGAAGAAGAAAAGAAGAACAGACAAGATGTGAGGGATATACAACGGGGAATATCCGATTAATCAGGGCATTTATGAATGGCCGGTGGAGGTAGATCCACCATTTGGCGTGGGGGGAGACTCTTGATTACTATGTAATCTAGAAAGATATCATCCAGCGATAATAACGCAATAATACAGCAATAACCAGATAGAAAAGAGGGTATGCGGGGTCGGCCATCCAATTTGGGATGCCGTCGGCTATTGACCGGGTAGGAGTCAATAGCCGACGCGGAGCTCCTCCGGCGACTGAATCCATTACTTCTGATTCAAAAGATTACAATGTCTTCCCCCACGTCATGTATTGAGTTCCATTCCTCTTTTCATTCTTTTTTACACTCCTCCTTCCTATTCCAACTTCTCTCATACATCCATCATGACCGTCAACTCTACAGAAACCACCCAGGCCCTCGTCCTGCACGGCGCCAAAGATCTCCGCCTAGTAAGAGCTTCCCCGCACCCCACTATCCTACTCTTTTTTGATCTTCAGAAACGTCTCTTAACAAAAACCAGGAATCGCGCCCTCTCTCCCCTCCAACCGGCAGTGAAGTCCAAGTCGCCATTCGCGCCACTGGTCTCTGTGGCTCCGACCTGCACTACTACACCCACGGGCGCAATGGCGACTTCGTGGTGCGCGAACCCATGTGCCTGGGCCACGAATCCTCCGGCATCGTCACAGCCATCGGCCCCGAGGTAACCACCCACGCCGTGGGCGACCGCGTCGCCCTGGAAGTCGGCTTTGCGTGTCGTCAATGCGCCCTCTGTCAACAAGGGCGCTATAACATCTGCCCTCAGATGAAGTTCCGCAGCAGCGCGAAACTCTTCCCCCATCTCGACGGCACCCTCATGGAACGTACCAACCACCCCGCCTCCCTCTGCCACAAGCTTCCCTCTCACGTCTCCTACGCCGGCGGTGCTCTCGTTGAGCCCCTCGCCGTCTGCCTACATGCCATCCGCCGCTCCCGGCCCCCAACCGCCGAGGACGTCTCCCTCGCGCAGTCCCTCGGCGAACCCACCGCCGCCTTGATCTTCGGCGCTGGCGCCATCGGCCTCCTCCTGGCCTCTGCTCTGGCTGCCTCCCAGAACTTCTCCTCCATCGTGGTGGCAGACATTGATGCCTCCCGACTGGCTATTGCTGACGAGCTGGGACTGGGTCTCAAAACCACTCTCATCCCCAAAGCGGATCCCGCGAACCCCGCGCCAGCCCGCGATGCGCCGGCGGCGGAGCAGACGGCTTGGGCGCTGCAGAATGCGCAGCGCGTTGCTGGAATCTTGAAGGAGTCGGCAGGTGTGGAGAAGACGGGCTATGCGCGCGTGTATGATTGCACAGGTGTGCCGGCTTGCGTGCAGGCGGGAATCTATGCTGCCGGGGCGGGCGGCGTGTTGGTACAGATTGGCATGGGCCATCCCGTGCAGACACTCCCTGTTGGAGCGGCGGCGCTGAGAGAGGTTGATATCTTGGGAGTGTTCCGGTATGATGGGTATGCGTATCCCGCAGCCATTGAGCTGATGGCAAGTGGGAAGATGAATCGTGTGGAGAAGATGGTGGTGACGCATCGGGTGGCGCTGGCGGATGGGGATCGAGCGTTCAACCTGTCGGGCAAGGGAGTGGATGAGGAGGGGCGACCGGTCGTGAAGGTGGTAATTGAGAGTGGAAGCGATGCTTGAGCGGGTGAACGAATCTATTCAAAGATGATGACGGTGACGATGATGACGATGATGAAGTCACGGAGTGTATAGTAGTAAAGCAATTCCAGATACAAAATCCGTATTTACACAACCCTACATACAATATAAATAGAATTTACTATTCCAACAAGAAACTCTACCCTGTGAGATGTAGTTGTGAGCCTTAATCTGAACGAGTACTGGCGACTATTAGCATGAACTACTCCTTGTTTGTTAATATGCTATTCCTTGGTTCCACTTTCTTGCCGCCGCAGTAAGACGCCGAGATATCAAAGCTATCTCGACATCTTGTCATGGAATTTGTTCATGAACCGGAATTTCTATTCTCGACCCTGGTCTCCGCTAACCATAAGTTGAGATGGCCTGCAATCCTAGCAGATTCTCTGCGAAATGCTGCATCAAATTTTCTCCAAAATACTGCATTTAAATCCAATTCCTTTTTGTTTTCAACGGCCGGGGTGGTATTCTTCTCCGAAAGAGGTGTCGTTCCTGATCGCGACGAGGACCCTTCGTTCTTGGTCTTGTCTTTCTCCGACGCAAGCTGTTTGTACTAGACATATGTTAGCGCAACCTGCACACTTTCGAACAGGGCAACGCCCGTGAACCCATGGCATTTATTTGCACAGGTCTTTTTCTTACTTCTTCATTTGTATCATCAAGGTGCAGAAGCCGGAGGAATAAATGCTGCTCTTCGAGTGTGCTGAAAGTGATCTTCCACGTTATGTCATCGGAGAAGTCACTAAGCCGGTAGACGATGAGAGCATATTTAGCTGCTTCCTGGTGTTTATCGAGCTGTCCTTGTGTGACGTCAATACTAGATGGGTCAAGTGTCGCATACAGGTGTGTCTCCCATGTCTTACTTTGGTACCATTTGTGCAGGTCAACGTAGCGGTCTATCGCAATAGACTTCACTCTCGGCGAGCTGTGCAGAAACAAGGTGATCTCCTCATAGGCCTCACGGTACAGTTTCTCTTCCATTGTGGTGTGAATAGAGTTCATCTCGGAAAGGCTCTGCCTCGAGTAGGGTAGCAAACGCTCGTGCAACTGGTTGAAGAGATCCGATAGGCCCCAATAGCTGACCTGGTCGTATCTAATCCCGGTCCCGGTTTGACAGTCACTTATGAGATGACTGGGTACTAGATAGGCAGCGCCGACCGGGGTTCAGTGGAGTTGGAGTATGAACAGTGTGGTTGTAGTGAAAGCTGGTATTCAGGGGTGACGGAGCAGCTTTCCAGATGGAATGTTAACGATGATGAAATGACAGAGAGTGGTGAAGAGAAGAAGGTAGAAGAGTTAGAAGAGGAAGACGGTGAGGGGATTGGAGAGAAACACGGGCATTGATGAACACAATGAATGGTAGTTTTTGCAAGATCATGCCTGCTTTTTAGGATCAGTACATACTTAATAGCACGAAACTGTTGTGGGAAATGCTAATGGTAAATCTGTCTCTCTAATTGAAGCCCCGTGGTCATCAGTCGATAAGTATGGGTCTGAGTTCCTTGTCACCATTGTATGGGACCACCATGTACCAGTTGTAAACGACATACTGTAGCAAAGCAATCACTGAGGTTCATTTAGATCTAAGCAGTGCATATATGTGAACGAATTGGTGATACATCTTCCATTGCCAGACATGTATTTTCCAAACATTTACAAGTCACCAAGCAAGATAAGCATCTGACAATGTACTTCTCTCCTCTTTCATATGCTGCCTCAATCCTTCCAAGTCACAGAGTTAGTCACAAGGTACTCATTCAATCCCTCCTCTGTATTGAACTGCCCCCAACCGGAGTCCTTTATTCCACCGTATGGAAGGACCGGTTCATCATGCTTATTCATACCATTTATATGCACAGCGCTGGATCAGTCAGTATCTCTGCTTAGCCATTCTCATCTACTCAGGTAGGTAACATACCCAAACTCCAGCTGCTTAGCTATTGCAAGACCTTTACGAAGGTCTTTCGTGAAAACGGAAGCAGAGCTACCGTATCCAACACTATTGGCGATTCTGACAGCTTCATCGTCGCTCCTGACAAGCATGCAAGCCGTCAATGTAGTATATTCCCCCTCGAGCCACACTCTCATGTTTGGGTTAACATTAGCGAGCACGAACGGGCCAATACTCAGAACACCGTCGCAACTTGGTTCTGTCTCAAGCTTTCCATGGAGTAACTCGGCTCCACATTCCACAGCGCTCGTAATCAGGCTCCCCACGTGAGACTTTATAAATGCTTTGACGAATATGGGCGGAAGCACTTGGGCATCCGTCATGCTCAGAGCATATTTCAGGGTTTCCATGAATTCTTCAGCAATAGAGGCATCAACAAGGATACGACCAGTTGACATGTAGATTCGATAGGACTATCCTTAATCAGTAATGTATTCTCACCGATGAGAGTGAGTGACAAATCATACGTTCAACATAACTCCAGCCAGCACGCCCTCCACAGCAACCGGGACATCAGCATCCGCACAAACAATGGCGTAGTTCTGCCCCATAGTGTCGATCAACGATGGCTTGAGGTTCATGCCACAAATAGCAGCAATCTGTTTCCCCACATATATACTCCCCGTGGAATTGACCTTCCGTATCGCCGGATGCCCAATCATGGCATTCATAATCTGAGGCATATCCTCTCGGCAGGTAGATATGATATTCAAGCATCCATCCGGAAGGCCAGCTTCCCAAAAAGCTCGGCCAATGGACCAATAACATCGCGGAGTCTGCGTTGAAGACAAAAGGACAGCGGTATTTCCAGCTGCGAGAGCGCAGGCTGCTGCACGAATCCCGGATATATAAGGGGCAGTATTACAGATATGCGTTGTTAGCAAGACTGTCGACTGGTGTAATACGATCAGCTTTCCCTACCTGGACACCAACCCTAATATGACACCCATGGACTCCTTGAAGACAATGGCACTCTGACCTTTTCCTTCAACCACCGGTACACTCCCACAGATTGAAGGTATGCGACCTGCAATATCCCTCAGCATACTGCTCGCAAGAGGAATGACAAAACCCTTGATGGCCTCAACATCAGCACCCGTCTCAATATGCATATAGTTTGCGAATTCTCTCCGACGTCTCTCGAGAACATTGGCTGTCTCAAGCAGGATATAACGTCTGACGGCAGGCTTGGTACGAGCCCACGCTGGAAATGCTGCCTTCGCTGTCTCAATAGCCGTCGTCGCATCGGTAAACGTAGCACATGCTGCTTTCCAGCAAGTCTCGCCGGGTTACAGGGCTCTCAACTTCGAACAGGTGCGAGCCGCCATAGTCTCGGCCGTTGATGAGCAGGGGAACCTTGGCGACAGAGGCTGCGATAGCCGTGGAATAAGGATCCATGATCGGTCACACAGGATGTAAGGATGGAAAACGACTTGCTAGTTTTTCTTAGTGGTGAGCAGGTGGAAGAAGGACGTGGGCTGGTGACACAGGGATTTGATGGAAGAAAGCCACTGACGGGGATTGCCAGCCCGTCCCTCCCGCTCATACGCAGTCACTAGGGGTTACATTGCACAACCCCATCGGAAGAAAGAGTATCTGATCCCAGAACGCAATAAAAGCCTAATGGGACCCAAAGCTGACTTGATTCTCCGCAGCTCCTCACTCATGTTGCCTTTTGCTCCTCCTTGAGGCTCATTGCGCGTCATCTGTGAATCAGGATGGGCCCCAGCGCCAAGGGGAAGGAGATGATTGTGATTGTCTCCGTCCTGGTCGGCCTTGCGTGCCTCAGTATGGCTTTACGATTTGTTGCCAGAGTTAAGCGGCGCACTGGATTCGGGGTAGATGATTGTCTCTGCTTCGTGGCTGTCATATTGATGTTGGGGATGTTGATTGAGCTGATACTGTGTAAGCTTCTGGATGCTCTCAATAGCCTCTGCCTGACTGGATGAATTGCATCAGGGTGTTTCATTGGTGGGAATGGCTACCATTTCTCTGATCTCGATACTAGGACCATTACATTGTTCTATAAAGTGGGTATTTCACTTAAGATACATTACCCTCAGCAGCCTTGTCCTTCAAGCTCTCACTGAGATTCAACTAGATATTCCTGTCTAGCCAATTCACTTATTTCGTCTTGACCCCGGTGATCAAGATCTCCTTAATCTGTTTCTACCGCCGCCTCTTCACCACTAAACGCTTCCTTCGCTTCACCTTCTGCCTGAATATGCTCATTACCGCATGGTCTTCGGGTATCTTCTTGGCCTGTGCATTGCAATGCCGCCCGCTTCGCGCCTACTGGGATATAAATGTCAAGGGACGCTGCTTCAGCGCAACTACTTTCATCATTGTTAACCAGGCGTTCAACGTGGTCATGGACTTTGTCATTCTCGCAGTCCCGATACCTATGATTTGGAGACTGCATCGCTCATGGCAGGATAAGCTGGCGTTGAACGCCGTTTTCGCGCTAGGTGCATTGTGAGTTGACATTGGCTTCTTGCTTTCAGGCTCTTGATGAAAGACTATTTTTAATATTTCTTCCCCTTGATAGTGTGTGTTTCGCAAGTATATATCGAATAATAGTTCTATTCTACATCGACCTGAAGGACGTGACATGTGAGACTCTTCATGATAAACCAACACATCGAGAAGCAGGTTGACTATGATTAGATACTATCTACGACGCCACTCTATGGACCCATATCGAGCCATCTGTCGGGCTAGTCGTTTCCTGTCTCCCAATCATCCGCGGAATGTTTCCACGATGTACATCGGCGGGTCACAAACAGCGGACAACTTCAAGTTTAGGGCATTCTTCGACCGGCACAACTTGGTCTGGTGGTATGGATCAGGAGTGTTTTGATGGCCGGAAAGGGCTACGAGGCGGGTGTGCAATTGGGGGGAGGACCTGTCATCGGTCTGGGAATGCGATTGAACTCGAAAATATAAGAGTAACAACGGACATAGAGGTGCAGATTGGGTGATAACCTTTCTCTCGAAGGAATTGTTAAGAAAGTCGGGAATCATTTCGACCACAGTCTATACAAATTAGACTTTAGTATAAACTCTTCCCATCTCTAGTAATTTGTGGGTCGAGATGTGCTAACGGCAAGGGCAGAAAAAGATGGAAGGACGAAGCTGCTCTTGTGTGAAACTCTTTCTCATCCTCTTGCTGTCCATGAATGCTTTCCATAGATGAGAACTATCGACATGATAATGCTCCATATGTATGGTATCCCTCTACGTTTGAGAGGGTGGAGGGGGATGGGGGATGCATTGAGACGCAGTGGCTTCCTAGTGTCGAGCATACCATATCTCCTGCTACCTCACCTGTAAGAAATCATTGCAGTGCTGACAGCAGTGTGTTTCCTATACTAGTCATCAGGGTTACTCAAGGCTGATGCGAGATTGGAGACGGGTTTTGAACAGAACTGTCCAAAAAAAAAAGGCCGCATGATCATGTTCCGCTATATTACATTCAATTCCGATTTCTAAACGCTTTTCATCAGCAGTCATCGCCAAGCTAAGGGCAAAAGCATTTAAGGGATGCAGTAAGCTATATATAGTTTTTATTTTGGCTTTCGATGATTGTCATCAACTTATTGATCGGTACTATGTTGCGAGGTATTCCCAGAGCCGATATGTTCCCAATGGTTTGATTTGGAGAGCACTACGCTTCAAGCCAAAGGAAAAATACTATATTTATCTCGGATAATATTGTGGTGAGCAGTCCTGCCAAATGTTATGATCCTGGCATGTACTAGAATTGGGTTAAAATGTACAATTATAATGTTATAAGCTTCCAAAACTAAACTCCTATCTCGGCATTCTACATTTTAGTCATTGAAATCCTCCCAGTATACTCTATATCATTACTTAAAGTGACTCAACATGCCAAGAATCTAGCTAGCTAGCTAGCTAACACTTGAAACGGGGTCATCTAGGCCTTGGAGAACCCCTTAGCGTCGAAACATACAGTCCTCGGACAGCCAATCCGGTTAGAATCTCTGTATAGCTCCATCACCAGCACTGAGTCAAGGTGCGTGAGTCACCGAGTTGTCTTTCCCCAGACTCCATCTGGGGCATCAAAACCTGCAACAGGAAAGAAAAAGCCCAGCTGCGTGTCAGGTGACTTCCCCGTAGCGAGCGGCGACATACTAACCCCGAAGCGGCAAGGCCCGCGCCTCAGGTGATCTCCACGTCCACGGAACGCGCAGCCATTGACCAATCAAAGGCCCGGCAATCCGACATCGGCCGGGGAGTGGCAGTCCAACTCCGGATCACGTGCCCCAGAGCAGGCCGATCTCGTCCCCAGCAACGAGTTTATAAAGTTGCAACCGGCTGCTTCCCTCCTCCCTCTTCCCTTTTCCTCTTTCCCATCCAATTTCTTCACTTCCTTTCTATCCATCTCACCCTCTCCCCTCTTCCTCTCACACCCTCTTCACACAATGGCCTCCCGTGGACTTCCCCGTGCCCTCCGCCTGGCCCGCGTCTCGGCCCCCCGGTCCGTCGTGACTGCTGCTCTCCCCCGTCCCTCCCTGGCCAAGGCTGCCTCCGCCGCTCTCCCCCGTGTGACCGCCACCCCCGTCGTCCCCTCCCGCGGTGTTAAGACTATCACCTTCGCCGATGACAAGGAGACCGTCTACGAGCGTGAGGACTGGCCCCGTGAGAAGCTCCAGGAGTACTTCAAGAACGACACCCTTGCCCTGATCGGCTACGGCTCCCAGGGTCACGGTCAGGGTCTCAACCTCCGTGATCAGGGTCTGAACGTCATTGTCGGTGTCCGTAAGGATGGTGCTTCCTGGAAGGAGGCCATCCAGGACGGCTGGGTTCCCGGCAAGAACCTGTTCGATGTCACTGAGGCCGTCCAGAAGGGTACCATCATCATGAACCTGCTCTCCGACGCCGCCCAGTCCGAGACCTGGCCCACCCTGAAGCCCCTCATCACCAAGGGCAAGACTCTCTACTTCTCCCACGGTTTCTCCCCCGTCTTCAAGGACCTCACCAAGGTTGATGTTCCCACCGACGTCGACGTCATCCTCGTCGCCCCCAAGGGTTCCGGCCGTACCGTCCGTACCCTCTTCCGTGAGGGCCGTGGTATCAACTCCTCCGTCGCCGTCTTCCAGGACGTCACCGGCCAGGCCAAGGAGCGCGCCATTGCCATGGGTGTTGCCGTCGGTTCCGGCTACCTCTACGAGACCACCTTCGAGAAGGAGGTCTACTCCGACCTCTACGGTGAGCGTGGTTGCCTCATGGGTGGTATCCACGGTATGTTCCTCGCTCAGTACGAGGTCCTCCGTGAGCGTGGCCACTCCCCCTCCGAGGCTTTCAACGAGACCGTCGAGGAGGCTACCCAGTCCCTCTACCCTCTCATCGGTGCCAACGGCATGGACTGGATGTACGCCGCTTGCTCCACCACCGCCCGTCGTGGTGCCCTCGACTGGTCCAACCGCTTCAAGGACAACCTGAAGCCCCTCTTCAACGAGCTCTACGACAGCGTCCGTGATGGCTCCGAGACCAAGCGCTCGCTCGAGTACAACTCCCAGAAGGACTACCGCGAGAAGTACGAGAAGGAGATGCAGGACATCCGTGATCTCGAAATCTGGCGCGCCGGCAAGGCCGTTCGGTACGTTACTACATACCCCTCCCATAATACTTATATATCAATTGAGCATTCGCTAACATTTCTATTCTTTATAGCTCCCTCCGCCCCGAGAACCAGAAGTAAATCTATTCATAATGTGTTATTAGCATATCCCCGGTGGGAAAAGTTACGATGTACCATGATCTAGGGAATTGTTTTCAGTCGAGTTTCTTATTTTAACTGGGTTGTATATCGGGCCGGAATAAATTTTTTCTTATTCTTTCTTCATATTCTTTTCCTCAATTGAGTGTCAATTGTAGTTGTGTGGAGTGGCAGTTGTAGGAAAGAGGTGGTCATGAGTCATCGACTAGGAAAATTGCAACGGGCGGCAGATCATCCGGGGCCAGATTTCCCCGCGATCCGATCTTACCAAGTCTATTCTCAAAGTTTACATTTTGCTGAGTATCAATACATTTGAAATTGATGTCTGGAAATCCTTGAAAGAGGATAATGAATACAATCTATACACAATGCAACCGAACACCAAATCTATTTATTTCAACGCTTTCATGTCTTCGCTTGGATATTAGACAACGGTATATGGATCTAACCCCAGCATCATAAATCCAATCCTGCAGCCAGCCACTCACTCCACAATCAGTGTTCACTAGTCACGCGCTTTCCTTTTCCTTCTTAGTGCGGATGGCAGGGGCAGGGGCCGGAACGGGGTTGGGGTTGCCCTTCCACTCCAGCTTGCGGGGCTTCATGTACGCCGCCAGCACCTCGTCGGTGACTTCCTTTCTCTTCTCCTGGAACGCAGCAACATACTGCTGCAGCACCTCGATGGTCATCTTCTTGAGCTCACCAGTCAGGAGCTCACCGCTCTTGTAGTTCTTGTAGATCTCTTCCAGCTTGGCGTTGTCCTCCTCGAAGTAGGTAAGGTAGACATAGGAAACGTCGACGTCGGGGTTTCCACCCAGGCGGCGGTGGTCCTCGATGCTCACTTGGCCACCGCTGAAGGCGTACTTGTTGATCTTGGTCTGGATTGTGCGCGATCTGTTAGTATGCAAAAAGCAGATTAGTGGGGGCTAGCACTCTTACCTTGATCTGCTTGGGAGTGTCGGTCATGAAGATGGCCGAGTTGGGGTCAGAGGAGGACATCTTGCCGCCTGCTCCTTGCAGGGCAGTGAGGAACTTGGAGTGGATCAAGGCGGGCTTGGGGGAGGGGAAACGCATGCGGTGGGCGTTGTCACGGAGCAGACGGAAGTAGGGATCCTGGTCGATACCCATAGGGATCAAGCACTGGATGTTGGCAATCTCCTGGGTACGCTCGCTGGAGGGCTCGTCCTTCCAGATCTCAGGGTAGGAGGTAGCGAAAGCGGCGACACACTGAAGGGAGGGGAAGAAGATGCGACCGATGTTGGTGCTGGGGTTTATTAGTCCCCCGATGAAGTTTATATGGAATGGGTAGATCAACATACCTCTCGTTGAAGCCGAACGCACCACGGACTTGGTTGAAAGTGACCAGCTTTCCGAACTCCCAGGCGTTCATGAGGAAGTGGTTGCTAACATACTTCAAGTCGCTGTAAATGAAGGTCTTCTTGAGATCGAATCCCAGGGCAATAATGTCTTTGGCGTTCTCCATGGCGAAGTGCATGGCATCCTCGAACGTTATGCTATCCTTGAACAAAGCCTTCTCGTCGTCCGTAAGCATGAAGACCAAGGGGACGTCGAAAACATCCTGCAGCCACTTGGTGAATTGCAGGGGGATGGTGTGACCCAGGTGCAGACTGCCGGTACTGGGACCACGACCGGTGTAAAGGAAGAAAGGCTCGCCACGCTCGTAGAGGGTCAGGATGCGGTCGAAGTCACGGTGACTGAAGAACAGCCCGCGTCGGAGCCAGCGATGCGGCTTGTGTCCAGTCACCTTCTCGAAGCGCTCAAGGAGCTTGTCGTCAATGATGGAGGTGTTCCATTTCCTGTGATTGGAGGTGGTTAGTTGGTTGTTGCGTGGATTGCAATAAGCGCTTCAATGGCGGGGTAACACATACCGACAGATGGCCTCATAGTTGATGGCGACCACCTCTCCGTTCTCGTCGCGGGCACCCTCCACGGACCAAGGATTGATATCCTGTTCTTGCGCGGTGTGCGACTGCTCCTCGGCCATGATTGCAATCTGTTCAAGGACTGTGGAGGGGGTTTGGAAAGGAAGCGCAACGAGGAGAAGTGAGTCAGGGAGCGACGAGATGAATCTATTCAGTCTTTCTTTTGCCCCTCCTGCCCTTGCCCGATTCGGCCACAGTCACGTGGCGGGGAAGATGCGGCATGACAGCGCGCTAGTCCTATTTGGGTATTGTTGCTATCGGAGTAAAATGACTGTCCAACATATGCCACGCAATAGAGATGACATTTCTGCAAATTAAATTTACTTCAATCTGATCTCAGCCTTAGCTGATGTTCTACAATCTCAACTCCTTGCATTTTCCCAGTTTCGACTGTGTTGGCGCAATGCGGGGGTCCGATGGCGGAGATATATCCCCAGCGCTGACTCGGATGCCCGCTTATCACCCGGCCTTTTCCCCTCTGCCCTTTTCTCCGCAACTCTATCATACTACTATACTTACCACTGAGTCATCGAGATCAGTACTCTACCATTGGAAGTCAGTCTATAGACAATCAAGTCTTTCAGAATGGCTGACCCTTCCGTGCTCGTGCAATCTTTGACCCCTTCAGCTATTCATGATGCCTACTCCCTCATCCAACCCTATGTGCACCGCACGCCTCTCCTCACTTGCCAAACCCTCAACACCATTGCCTCGGCGCCGCAATCTCCAGAGGCATTGACCGGCACCTCCTTTGAGGGCCAAGCTCCTGCCAATCCCAAGTTCCGCTTCTTCTTTAAATGCGAGAACTACCAACGGATAGGCGCCTTCAAGGCCCGAGGAGCCTTCCATGCTCTGTTACGTCTCATCACCGAACGGGGGAAGGAGGATGTACAGAAACGGGGTGTCATCACCCACAGCTCTGGTAGGCTTAAACACTTTTGAGTGAAGCGAAACTTTATTTACCGATTTGTGTAGGAAACCACGCTCAAGCTCTCGCTCTCGCCGCCGCCACCCTTGGTGTTCCCGCCTACATTATCATGCCCAGTATTAGCACACCCTCCAAGATCGCTGGAACGCGCTCCCATGGTGCAGAGGTCATCTTCAGTGGTTCCACGAGCGTCGAGCGCGAAGCTGTCGTCGCTGATGTGCAGGCCAAGACCGGTGCCATTCTAATCCCGCCCTATGATGACTTCAATATCATCTGCGGCCAGGGTACTACGGCTCTCGAACTTGAGGAGCAGTACAGGGAGCTGCTGGCTGAGAAGCCACATCTGAGCATTCGCGAGGGGTCCAAGGCTCTTGATGCTGTCTTCACACCCATTGGTGGAGGCGGTCTCAATTCCGGTGTTGCAACCTTCTTCTCGGACAAGACGACCAAGGTGTTTGGTGCGGAACCCAGTTTTGAAGGTGCAGACGATTGCCGGCGCGGACTGGAAGCCGGGGAGCGGGTTCCGGCAGTGTCGACACTGACCATCGCGGACGGGTTGCGGACACCGGTTGGCTTGTTGAACTGGGAGGTGATCTCGAACCGGAACGAGGTCGCTGGCGTATATGCTGTGACGGAGGAGCAGATCAAGGCGGCAATGCGTCTGGTCCTGGAACGCATGAAGGTAGTAGTAGAGCCAAGCGCTGTGGTGGGTTTGGCCGTTTGCCTATACAACGAGGAGTTCCGACGACTGGTCGAAAAGGAGGCTCCTGAGGGTTGGGATGTGGGCATCGTGTTCAGCGGTGGAAACACCACGGTTGAGGCCATTGGAAAGTTGTTCAGTTAAGAAAGCATGTATAACCTGCTTGGGGCCACTGTTTCAAATCACGTCTGTACAGTGTACATAGCTAGATGAGAAATGTATCAACCAATGTCGACCCCGTCTCTTCCTATGCGAAAGGCGAATTTGCCGCCATTATTTTGTTTTAAGCCATCCAGAACCCTACGAGGCCATTCCTCGCGTCTCCATTCATTTACCCACCCGGAGAACCTTCCGCGACTGACAACTGCTTGTCGACGAGGCGCACCGCGCTGCGCATTATGCGCAGTCATGGTTGGCGGAAAGGGACGAGCTGAATCACGTTGAACAACAATCCGTAGAGTAGGGAACCGACCCCAAGGAGCTGGCAAATCAGACCCAAAAGAAGGCGCCTTTGGCACAGAGGGGCGTGGATTATATAAGTCGTACGGTCCTGCCGGCGTATACGCTGGGTTACCACCACGAGCACCGTGGAATCTTCCTTGAACAGTGGTGGTGTAAACCACCATACAACCGAAAAGTCGCTGTAATCTTTTCAGTTCCGCTACAAGTGCAGCATATAGTTCTGAAATCTGGAACCGTTGCTTCCGAGTAGGCTCATGCTCCGAGTCAGCATCGACCCGCCCGATATCTTCCACTCGGGCAATTTCGTCTTGTAATCTATCCTGCCAGAAGAACGCATTGGCACTATCCAGGTAGATAGTATGCACGGGTCTGGTGGAGGACAAATGGCGAGGTAAGTCAAGAATGTAGGCATCCAGGTTTTGAAGTGTAGCAAGGAGAGCAGCTGATGATTGTGGACGGAAGACGTGGACATGTTGCAGACAGGCGACAAGCATAGTTTCGAAATCCTCACTGTCAGCTTCCGAAGAAGTTTCAGATGAACCCTGAGCTAGTGCGTCAATTCTGGCCTGAACAATCCCTCTGACCACCGATTTCAGCCGCTCAGCATCAAATCGACCGTCCGTGTCAATGAATATCACCGCCGATTCATGCCCACCGAGCGGGACGCCTTTGAACACGGATGGTAAGATAGCGACTGCAGCGAGGTAGTACAGGAGATGCGACTTTCCAGCTGCAGACAGCTTGCTAGAGATCTCCAGGACTGGTTCTGTGCGGTTAATGTTCAACATCGGCACACTATGCATGCCCACATGCTCATCGTTGATAAGTTCGCCTTGAGCCGGGAGCTTGCCCTCGGTGCCATAAAAGTCTGCTCCCTGGGTATCCCCAGAATGATCATGTTGCAGATCCCCTCCCAGATGTATGTTCTGTGCAGCAGGGACAGGCGTTGTGAAAACACCCAGAAGATCATCAAGCACCTGGACACCCAGTCGGGGCCTCAAAGTATCACTATCACCAATCCCATGTGATAGGTTTCTTAGGTCATGCAGAAGCTTCTCACATTAGCATCGATTCAGCAGGCTTTCAGAAAAGTATCCACGACGAAAATAAGGCTATGATGCAGAACCATGCAGTGAACCGAAACACCGACCCATACATACCTCGTCAAGTCTCTCCTCATACACCTCCCCAAGAATCTCTCCCCCAAAGTTAGCAGCCATTTGACACAATTGCAATATCTACAAATGTGACAAAGCTCGACATTGTCCGCTGAATTAGTGGGTAAGTAGTGGTTGACTCCGACCCTCTCTAGGTGTTGATAGAATCACAAAACCACCGCGGGCTGACCCGTTGTGACGATAACTGGTTAAGGATGGATCGCGGCGCCGGCGAACGCGAACGCTTCCGCTCCATCCACTTTTCTTCCTTTCCCCAGAACCACCTGCCTAGCTCATCATTATTCCCAGCTGCGGAAGAATTGCTCAAGCCACCATACTTAGAAGACATTATTCAGAACCATAACAAGATAAATATATCACCATGGCTCCTCTTGTCCCCGTTTTCTCCGCCGAGAGCCTTCCAGACCACGTCAACATCGTCACCAAGAACTTCCAAGAGAAGCGTCGCAAAGGCGGTCCTGTCGAGCTGGAGAAATGCAAACTGCTGGAGATGGTTCAATACTCCTGCAATCCGCCGCAAGAGGGGATTCCTAAGCCGGGTGTGGTGAATTGTAAGCCGATTGTGAGGCTGTTTCGCCGGTGAGTTACCCTTTCGCTATGGGCTTGAGGGAAAGGCTCAATGCTGACAATTACTTCACCTTAGATGCGCTGGCGGATTAACGGTGGAAACGACTGCTTGGGAGCCGATCAGGATAGCGAAAGAAGAAGCGGAGCGCAAACGTGCTGCGGAGAGCAGCTCAACGGCCTGATGGAAGTCTCCTTTCGATTACATGCATGGCAAGGAGTTGAACTGGCGTTCAGTCTACTGATAATCACAATGGCAGTTAAGGCTATGTGATTAACCAATTGAGTTGCATTATTTGACATCCTGCTCCATGGGTATCTTCTCGGTTATGCTACGATGAAAAAGCTGAACGCCTGACGCCTCTGCCTATCCTACACCTCATGATGCATTCACCCAGCTATCCACCCTCGACATATCGGGCGTATCCTTGGCATTTGATAGCTTGTTTTCCTCCGTTCGTCGGCTCCCAGATGTAGGCGCCCGTCGCCACAGGTCTCTCTCGCAGTTGATGATAGGAGGCAGCTCTATGTTCAACGCCAGCTTCGAGCGGGAGGCTTTATCTGCACCAGCTCCCGAGTCGATCTCCATGGGACCAGCAGAGTCCGGGCCCGTCCCGGGCTTCTGTATCTTCTTTGCGAGTGCTCTAACAGTCTTCTCAAACATTCCATCCATACTCTCCGCTCGTCGTCCCCATTGTTTCTTGTCCCGGACCGATGAGCCAGAATTGTTGTCTTTAAACGCCGCACGAGCCAATTTGCGCAGCGCCTCCTCGCCATGCCGACCATCCTCCGTTGCTCGCTCTCGAATGACGCGCGGATCTTGCTCTCGTTCCGTGAAAACCGGTGTGTGACGATACGTGTGTTTACTGGGAAAGTCGGGGAAATGTTTCGGGATATGGGCGTTGTGAGCGCGATCGTCTTCGCCGCTGAGCTGTGGCCCTAAGGAGGGCAAAGTCTTGAACGAGTCCTCTTCCGGCGGAGGACTTGGTAGAAGGGTGGGGATAGGTTCGATGTTTGGATGGCGTTTCACGTGCGGAAGGAGGTCGCTGACTGGCACGGACTGTCTTTTCAAGGCATATTCGAAATCTTGTGGGATGGGTTGTATGCGCCGGCTGGAGAGCATCGCTTGGCGCACATATGAGGCGAATCTCAGCAGATCTAGTGACCAAATCCATCAATATCATGAACGATTCCTTCTGAAACCTAGGTTTCCCAACGTACATTCCTCCGTTACCCTGCGAAAGGCGTCCAGCGCTGCAGGGTCGGCGATATCAAATCCGCATTCTTGTAGATACTGTCCAATAGATCGGTTGAGGACATGGTCGATGCAGGCCTCGTCGACAATAGCGGGTTCCGGCAACGCTGGGGCGACGGGACTTTGTAGGCGATGATGATGGTGATAAGGGCGTTTCGTTCGTTTTACATCAGGGGCATCTGGACCTTCTGGTAGGGAAGAAGAGGATCGTTTGACAGTGGGTTCCGAGGAGACCATGGCGCCGGTGGTCTTGATGGATGGATGGGGAGAGATCCAGAAACGGCGCCAAACACAAGAACCGCGTGAGGTCACGTGCGTATGCCTGAGGCAGATACCACTACAGCCCAGTCATCAGCTTCAAGGCTCGATTAATACCTGGTGGTACAAGATTAAAAGAAAATGTCTAAAGATCTAGATAAACAAAAACCAATTCATAAATGTACTCCCCCTGTAAGTCGTGTAATATTTGGGCTATCATGAAACGGTCGCAGCAGTAACCCACCATCAAAAGTCAGGCCACTCACAGCCGTCGCTTACTACACGCCGGCCCGGAAAGCTTCACCTCGACTTTCACTCTCGACATCACCGCTCGCTTTCCCTCTCCTCTCCTCTCCTCTCCTCTCCGCAACCCCCCACTACCACCCCAGCAGGTCAATTCTTGCGCGAATCTCCTCTACTCGTTCCTCAGATCTGTCTGAAGACACTAATATCTCACAATGGCCTCCGTCGCTCCCATCACCGGCGTACGTCCACCCTTCTCCTACCCAACCCACCCGGGACCACATCCACAACCCTATGGCCTCCCCCAGATTTGGAACCCTACAAGCTAACATTTTGCACTTCAGATGCTCCGCCGCACCCTGGTCCTTGACCTGAGCACCGCTTTCGGTGAGTCCGCCTACGACCCCGCGCTTCCATTGACCCGAGATGTTTCCTCCCCATATATTCGAATTGCATACAAGCGCTGTTCCATCGACATCCGCCCCGCGCGCAAAATACCAAACCGACTCGATCTAGAGGAACAATTGACTGACTGACTAATTTGCAGGTTTCGGTACCACTTTCGGCTACCTCTGGTGGTACGGTACGTATACAACAGACCTTCCTTTAATCCCTCCTCCTTCCCTTTCCAACAAACCACATCCCAGAGATAACAGTCACTAACGATACACCACTATACAGGCTTCCACCTTCCCCGCGTCCGCGCCCGTGACGACTACTACACCCGCCTCGAGGCCGAGCGCGCTGCTGCCCAGCAGTAAATTCGCATCGGCAACGCATATGCATACGACTTCGCGCGTTGATTGGGGAACCCAATGTTTACCGTTAAATATGCCGGATGGAACCAGGATGCGTCAGCTACGTGATTGGGGAGAAGTGGATGTGGGGGAATGTGTAGCTGATAGGATGTGATTGATATTGTTTTTGATGTCAGGTATATTGCGTGGGTTTTGGGTTGGGTTTCCGGTTGATGGTGCGGGTTGAATGTGTTTGTGCTTGTGTGTGTGGAATTGAAAGAATAGAAGAAGGGAAGAAAGAAGAATGTTTCCTCGAGTGCTTTTTTTTGTCTGTTGTATATACGCTTGTACTCATACATGCGGTCGTTTGGGATTATCTGGTTGGCTGTTCTTGTGTTCGTCGTAGGGAGGGAGATTAAGTGGTTTGTAGAGTGTAGTGAGGGTCAGGTGTAGCTATGTTACTGGGCAGCATTTGATAAAAAATGTGTTCATTTCTTTCATTCATAAGCAGGGAATCTATCCAGTCGCTAATTAATCCAAGTGGAAATGTAGGCCATGCACGTAAAACTCCCCAAATCAACACAAACACGGACACACACACAGCATCCACCACAATTATACCCCCTGCCCAACAGGCAAGAGCAACCAACTGATATCAACTACTACCTACCAACCACACAGGGGCAGGCCAGGCTGGTCCACCATTCACCGCATAACGCGCTCATACTGTATCCCCCTCACGCTACCACCACCCATCGATGTCCTAACATTGCGCTTGAACGCCTCCCGGTTCTGTCTCAGATCGTCGGCGGCCTCCTTGTTCAGCGGATCGGAAGCATTCGGCTCGAGGAAGAGGAACTAAACACAGCGTAAAAAACCAGATTAACACCCCAATCATCCACAAATCAAGAAGACCAAGATATAAAAGCGAGAGGAATTCCATACCTGCATCCCCACAATAACCGCATTCAAATTCAACACGGGCTTCCAATCCTCCCTCAAAATGTTCAGACACACATTTCCCTCGAGATCAATATTCGGATGGTAGATCTTCTGCGTACACTTGACCTTGGGAGGATCATGCGGGAAGTTCTGGTTGACCGTGAAGTTAAAGTGGAAAGCGCCGCCCTTGTACATGCCCTCGTCCGGTTCGATAGTGAGAGTGAAGTTTAGGATGTCGTCTGGGTTCGGGAAGGACATTTTCATTGTACTTCCGAGGGTGAGTTCTTGCAGGTCTGTCTCATATTTCGATTTCGATGTTAGTTGAATGTCCTAGTGGGTGTGGTTTGAGAAATGGTAGTAGGGACATTCAGACCTCGTTGCACGCGCAGCTGAGCGGCGGTGACCTTCTTCTTCTTTTTACCGGCAGCTCCTTCGGCATTTTCAGCTTGCTGCTGCTGTTGTTTCTGTTTGAGAGGGTGTTAGTGAGGTGGAAAGAGGGTACATATGGGTTGGTTGGTTGGCAGGTGGTGGTTGGATGGGAGTCAGTCGCGACGTACCATAGACCATATCTTCAACATCGTGGCTGATCTTGCGGGCTCGCGATCACCTGTGTGTGGCTTTGGTAGGATATAGAATTATTTGGAGAGATCTGGGTCTAGGGATTGTGGTATGGATCGCTATCCTAGAATCTTCGTAGTTGTTGAGTGGGTGAAGAGGGGAGGAAAGGCTGCGGGGTCCTTTCGTTGGTCGGTACAACTAATCTCCACTACAGCGTAGAGGGAACGATGGCAAGACAGGAGGAGCAAGTCCTTTATCTCAACGTAGACATGTGGCAGGCCACGGCAGAAGAAAGGGGTTTGTATTAATGCGTGTAGAAAGGCAACAGAGTGATTATCAGAGACAGGTGATAGCCAGACTGCCGCAGAGAGCGGGCGGCGGCCTGACGCCATGGGCCACCCATTGCACCACCGCCTGCCCGTACCAGTTGCCACTCAGGATTGCTCCATATCCGCGGTCTTTTACATTATCTCTTCCTATCGTTCCTTATTTGGCCATGCGACTTCTTGTTATTATGAGGGTTTCATTTCGAACATTATCTGTGGGAATCCCCGCGTAAAACAGTCAACCGATCGCCTTCCACGCCCTTGAATACATCCCATTTCTAATGCGCTAAGAGTCTACAAAACATTGTCGTGCCTGCAGTCCCTATGAAATGTGCAAATCCAACCTGAAACAAAACACAGCCGAACCTGGGAAACAAAGAATAAACATCGTATGTAGAATACAAAATTGCGACAAAAATGTGCCAAGAATAACTCCACGAGGCCTCTGCCGGCCTTGAGCAAAGCACCCCTCATTGACAACTTTTCGTTCATTATGCTGCGCACCTTCTCTAGCGGCGGGCGAAGCAACACATCACACCGGTCTTACCCAGGAACCAGCAAGCTCCAATGAAGCGGAATAGCGCGACAACGGCGTTAGACCACAGTAGAGCCTGGAAGAAACGTGATGTACGATCGGTGGCAGAGTTCTGCATGAAGCCGTTAGTTTCGTCTTTTGGAACATCGGGAATCGGTTTATTGCAAAAGATATACATACCGTGAAGCCAAACTTATCCACACCATCGCTGGTGATGCAAACAGCCATCAGAGCGTTACTGAAGATCCAGAATGTTACCAGTCTCGTACGGAAGCTCTTGTACGAGTCATCCAAACTCTTCTCCTCCTTCTCTTCGGGAGCCACATATGGTGTCAAAGCACGCTTCACCGTAGCTTCAAACTGGCTGTCAATATCGGCTTGAGGCTTGTCAATTTCCTCAATGACAGTTTCCTTGCCTCCTTCCTTGGTCGTCTTCGCGGAGGGAAGAGCATCTGCCTTATCAGAACCCTTGGTACCCCAGGACACATCGTGCCAGTTGCTGAAGGCATACACGTTGAGGATGTTGATGTAAGAAGACTGCACGGCCATGTACTGAGGGAAAGAGGTGAACATGTGCCACGGGTCCATGTACATGAACGAAGCGACGAAGTACAGACCGAAAGTGGCAGCAAGCGCGATGATAATGATACCGGCACCGGTCGACCCGAAGAACGAACCAAGGAACGCACCAACACCGTGCGTGGTGTCGAAGTCCATCGGAGCGCTGCCGCTGAAAGCGCGGACTACCAGGTAAAGTGCATCGACGACAACGTAGAGTTGAATGATACCGAAAACAACGAAAGATGCGAGGTACGAGAACCGAGAACCCTTGGGGCGGTTACCCAAAGCCAGAATAAACTGGAGGAGCAGGAAACCAAGGTAGGCATATTTGACGATGGTGTTGACGATGGGAGTTGCCGTCTTGCCAAAGGGGAAACCAGTGTGACCGTTGCTAGCGCTAGGAGTACCGACCAGGTCCATGATAACCGATGTTGTAAGCCAGTAGGAAGCTGGTTGCTAAAGTCAGTAAAGTCCTCAAGTTTGTGCGAGAGTCGAATGGATCCACTAAACGTACCCAGAGAGAACCATGTAAGAATCGTCGAGAAAGTGTTGTACAGCATCTGAATATGAAGGAAGAACATCCGAATGATGTTGTGGCCACTCTTGTACATACGTCCGAAGTGCATGAGCGAATAGATACCGGCTGCGAAGGATCCGTTCAACCAACGACGACGCTGCGAGATGAACTCCGCAGCACCTTCAGGCACGTCAGTTTCACCCTTCGAGGCTTTAACATATGACAGATGCCACTTGGAGCCAGCCTTAGCAACCAGCTCGAAACACAAGATACGGTCCTCGGCCAAGAACATGTTCTTCTTGAAAATGTTCATTCCCTCGATACCCTTCTTACCCAGCTGTTTGGAGAGAGTATGATCACCATGGAAATACTGCTCCAATGGACGACCCATGATTGCACGGAATCGGTATGCGGAGAAAGCACCAGGTAACACACTGACATAACCGAAAGAACTCTCCAATGGCTTGTCCAGAATGTTACTGATCTTGTATTCGAAATTCTGGGCTGCCACGAGAGGGTTGATCAAGTTTCTCCAACCCTTACCCAACATGGCGTGAATTTCACCACAAGCACCTCCGAGATCCTTGTCGTTGTAGAAGGCCTCCCACAGGGCCAGAAGTGACTTGTGTCCAGGCTTGGTACCAGCATCGAGAAGAATGCAGACCTCGGGGTTCAGGATACGGCCGAAAGCATTGAAAAGCCATCTATGAGAGTTGATCTTTTTGCTGTTCTTCTGCTTCAAACAGAACATCATCTGAACTGGGGGTAGCGTGCTGGGGCCGTCATCTGTCGGGCGAATGAGCTGCTGGTTGGGGGTAACGGATAATTGCGTCGTGTATTCGAACTATCAGGTGTTAGCAATCTCCACATGTGTATATTCTCGGGTTGCGCATACGATGTGGGCAACGGTTTCCTTTCCGTCAACATCACGCTTCATGACGCCATCCTGGTAAATACCAACGGTGGCCAAGACATCCAGCACATCCTTGTCACAGGGGTCGATACCATCGAAAACCAGGCAGACCACAATCTTTTGCCAGGCCGGCCCACCCTTGTTCCAGAACTCGGACTTCTTCAAGTTCACAATGTCACGGATGTTTTGCATGACACCATGGAGCGTACGGGCTGTAAGAGTCTTGTCTTCGTTATAATACGTGATAGCAATCAACAACTCGGTGTGTCTGTTGTACATGGCAGGACGAAGGTTGTAGCCATTGTGAAGGGTAAACTCATTAGGATCACATGTGGCCGCGGTGTCTATACCAAGGAGAATTCTCCATTAGTTCCGAGAAGCTGCATGATTGGGCCGTGCGGTAACTTACATCGCATGTGTGTGAATTCTTCGCTTCCGCCCTCCAGGTCGTTCCTATACTTTGCCTGGATTGCATTTTGGATAGCACTAGGCACCGGGTAATCAACACTCAGGACTGAGCCCTGCACAAGCTTGACCTTTCTGGTAGCGTAGCGGCGCAGACCACCACCGCCGCCACCACTACCTGCACCTCCAGGGGCCTGTCTCTGGCGCCAAGCCTCTGTTGACGAGGTTTCGCTACGAGCATAGGGCGAAGCAACACGGCCGGGGACGCCAAAGGCAGCCGCGGGGTTCTCTCCAGACTGTGCAGAGTAAACAGAGCCACCTGCACTGTAGGGATCGTGGTAACCCGCATCGGCAGCATATGTCTCGGTCAAGCTGTATCCAGAGGTGGGCCGAGCCGGGGACAGATTGCGCTGCTGGGGGTCATCAAAGGGACCTGTGAATGGGCCCGTTTGGCTCGATAGCAATCCTCTAGACGCTTCTTCTTCATACTAAAGATCATCCAGGTTTCCATGTTAACTGATTCTTTCGTCCAGGCGCGATGCCACACAACCACTAGAAATGAAAACTTACGTTGTTTCCAGCCGGTAGATCCTGGAGCCGGTGACCACCGTCATCGTAGCCGGGAGGCGAGTGATTACCAGTGCCTTGGTAGG